AAACAAAAAGCAAAAAAACAAGAACTGGTGAGGATGTGGAGAAAAGGGAACCTTAGTGTACTGCTGGTAGGAATGCAGACCAGTGCAGCCACTATGCAAAACAGCATGGAGATTCTTCACAAAATTTTAAGTGGAACTGCCTTTTGACCCAGCGATACCACTTCTGGGAACATACCCTAAGACTCTTGAAACCCTAATTTGAAAGAACTCCTATGTTCACTGCAGCGTTATTTACAATAGCCAAGATCTGGAAACAGCCCAAGTGTCCATCAGTAGCTGAGTGGATAAAAAGGCTGTGGTACATTTACACAATGGAATACTATGTAGCCACAAAAAAGAAGGAATTCCTACCTTTTGTGACGGCATGAATGGATCTGGAGATTATTATAAACCAGTAAAATAAGCCAGTCAGAGAAAGATAAATACCATATGATCTCACTTATATGTGAAATCTAATGAACAAAATAAAATGACAAAAAAGAAAGAGGCATGGATACAGGGAACAGATTGCCAGCTGTCAGAGGGGAGGAGGGAAAGGGGGACTGGATGAAAGAAGGTGAAAGTATCAGCCAAAAAAACATGTATGCATGACACAAAGACACAGATAACAGTATGGGGATGGCCAGAAGGAAAAGGGGTGGGGGACTGGGTAGAGGTGGGCTAAGTGGGGGGTAATGGGAACATTTATAAAAGGGTCAATAAAAATAAAGTTCAAAACAGTGTGTTACTGGCATAAGGATATAAATATATATATATATCAACTGAATAGAACTGAGAGTCCAGAACTAAACCTATATATCTATGATCAATTCATTTTCTACAAGGGTACCAAGACCATTTGATAAGGAAAGAATATAGCCTTTTCAACAAATGGTGCTGGGACAACTGGATATCTACATGCAAAAGAATGAATTTGGACCTGGATGTCATACCATATACAAAAAGTAACTCAAAATGAATCAGAGACCTAAACTAAAACTCTGAGAAGGAAACAGGTGAAAATAGGCATAGCCAATGTGTTTGTTTTTTGTTTTTTTAAATATGACATTATAAACACAGCATTCAAAGGGGGAAAAAAAAGACCAATTGGACTTCATTAAAATTAAAAGCTTTTAGGGGTGGCAGGAGATAAAAGAGGGCAAAGGGAGCATAAATGGTGGCGGAAAGAGACTTGACTTTAGGTGGTGAGTACAAGATGCAGTATGCAGACGATATGTTATTGAGTTATACGTACCAATGTCACCACAATAAATTCAATTACAAAAATTAAAAACTTTTGTGTGTCAAAGGACACTTATCAAATAAACAGACACTATCAAGTGAAAAGACAATACACAGAATGGGAAACATTTTGCAAATCATTTACAGAATAAGGGCCTATTAGCCGTAACATATAAAGAACTCTTACAACTCAAAAATAAAAGATGAATAATACAATTAAAAATGGGCAACAGGTTTGAATGGACATTTTTCCAAAGAAGATATACAAATGGCCAATAAGCACATGAAAGGATGCTCAAAATCATTAGTCATTAAGAAAATGTAAATCAAAACCACAATGAGATACCACTTTACTAATAGGATGGCTATACCCAAAGACAGACAATACCAAGTGCTGTCTCCAAGGACATGAAGAAATTGGAACTTTCATCTAGTCATGCGTCCCATCACGTTTCAGTCAACAACAGACCACATATATGAGGGTGGTCCCATAAGATTGTAACAGAGCTGCCCTGGCCAGTTTGGCTCAGTGGTTAGAGCGTTGGCCTGCTGTCCAGAGAAACCCAGGTTTGGTTCCCGCTAGGGGCACGTGCCTTGGTTACAGTTTGTCCCCGGCCCTGGTTGGGTCATGCAGGTGGCAACCACTCGACATGTCCCTTTCACATAGATGTTTCTCTCTCTCTCTCTCTCTCTCTTCCTCGCTCTCCCTCCCACTCAATCTGAATAAAAAAAAAATGGAAAAAATGTCCTCAGGTAAGGATAAAAAAAAAAAGATTATAACAGAGCTGAAAAATTCCTATTGCCTCGTGATGTCTCAGCAGTCATAACATCAAAGCACAACACATTACTCACGTGTTTGCTGTGATGCTACTATAAACAAACTTACTGTGCTGCCAGTGGTATAAAAGTATAGCATATACAATTATATACAGTATGTAACAATAATAACTGTTAATATATTTACCATATTGTACTTTTTATCATTATATCATTACTTTAGAGTACTTTCTACTTATTAAAAAGTTTGCTGTCGCCCTGGCCGGTTTGGCTCAGCGGTTAGAGCGTCGGCCTGCGGTCCGGAGAGACCCGGGTTCGGTCCCCGCTAAGGGCACGTACTTCGGTTGCAGTTTGTCCCCGGCCCTGGTTGGTCGTGCGGGTGGCAGCCACTCGATGTGTCCCTTCACGTCAATGTTTCTCTCTCTCCCTTCCTCTCTCTCCCTCCCACTCTATCTGTACAAAAAATGGAAAAATATCCTCGGTTGAGGATAAAAAAAAAAAAAAAAAAAAAGTTTGCTGTGAAACTGTATCATGTTACTCCAGCAGCAGCCTCATACATCTTGTGTTTATTATGCCTCTTGATGCCATTATTTTCTCTGTGCTGGATTTAATCTCGTGTTGTTTTATAAAACAATATGCTGTACAGGCTTTTAGCCTAGGAGGAAAAGGCTGTACCATGCAGTCTAGGTGTGTAGTAGGCTATACCATCTAGGTTTGTGTAAGTGCACTCTATGATATCCACACAACAAAACCACCTAACGATGCATTTCTCAAAACATATCCCTGTCAAGTGGGACATGACTGTATTACTGGTAGAAATGTAAAATGGTACAGTCACTTTGGAAAACATTTTGGCAGTTCCTCAAAAAGTTAAACATAAAGTCATCACATAACCCAGAAATTCCATTCCTAAGTATATACCCAAGAGAATTAAAAATATACATCCATATAAAACCTTGTACCTGAATGTTCATAGCAGCCCAAAAGTGGAAACAACTCAAACGTCCATAAGCTGATGAATGAATGAACAAAATGTGTTGTGTCCATACAATCAATGGAATATTCAGCCACAGAAAGGAATTGATATGGACTAAATGTTTGTGTACCTCCCCCTCAAACTCTGTATCTTGGAGCCCTAATCCCCAACGTGATGCTATTTCAAGGTGGAGCTTTGGGAGGTAACTAGGTTTATAGAATTCATGAGGGTGGAGCCCCATGATGGGACTGGTTACTTTATAAAGGGAAAGAGACTACAGCTCGCATATGCTTGCTCCCTCTCTCTAGAGCATTCTCTCTCTCTTACTCTTCCTCCCTCTTTCTCTCTCTTCCTTTCTCTTTCTCTCTCCCCCTTCCACATAAAGATACAGCAAAAGGAAGCCATCTGCAAACCAAGAAGAAGGCCCTCACCAGACCCTTATTATGCTGGCATTGTGATATCAAACTTCCAGCCTCCAGAACTGTAAAAATAAATGTTATTGTTTAAGCCACCCAGACTATGGTATGTGTTATAGCAATTTGAGCTAAGATGGGAATGAAGTACTGTTACATGCTACAACGTGGATGAACCCTGAAAATATGCTAAGTAAAAAAATTTCAGAAATAAAAGGCTACATATAAGAGAACATTTATATAAAATGTCAAGAAAGGTAAGTCGATAGAGAAAGTATATTAATGATTGCTAGGTGATGGGGGGGGAGTGGATTGAGACTATCTTCTGACAGGTATGGATTTCTTTTTTGGGTGATGGAAATGTCTTAGTGGTAATGGCTGTGTAGTACTGTGAATATATTAAAAATTGCTGAAATAGACACTGTAAAATTATTTAAATGGCAACTTTTACCTCAATTTTTTAAGTTTAAAAATTTATAATTACTATCCAAGTCATATTTACACTATATATAAAATAGAAGCCTTTGAAATTATATAAAACACAAAAATATAGAAGTTGTGGATTTTTCTCTGTTCTCTTCAAAAACTCTTAAATTTCAGTGTAGCACTGTTTATAACAAGAAAAATACTGAAACCAATCTAAATACCATTTTTAGTGAATTTATTAAATTATGATGCAGCTATTAGAAAGGCTGAGATATATTAGTTGAAAAAACACACGGCCAAAACAGTGGCGGAAGTATGATTTAATGTGATGCAAACATAATTGTATCTGCACAAGCTCTTAAAAGTGCTAACTGCAGCTGAGTAGAACTTGGAAACTCTTTATTTTTAATTTTATGCCATTCTATAATATTTCAATAAAATTTTTTTTGAAATAAAATAATATTTAAGTCCTCTTTGGAATACAACTTCAAGTATTTGATGGCTTTAAAACACATTAAGCATTCAAGTATGTTGAATATAACATTTTCTGTGTGCAAAGAAAACTTCTTTAAATGTTACTGTCTTTTGCAATCAGAAAATGGATGTTGCAATAACACAAGCAACATTTTCTGATAAACTGTATTCATTATCAGGCAGCATTTCCAAACAATTTGCCACAAAGCCATTTTACAAGAAAAAAACACTACCAGAAAAAAAAATCTGTACACACACATAGAATACAAAGTGAGAAATTATATTTCTGATAATACAACTCAAAATTATGTATTTATGATAATAGTGGTTTGTGATCTTAAATATATAACATGATCCTGATATAAGGATACTATGCCTATAAGGACATGAAAGCTATTATAATGTAGGAAGAGTAAATTTGCTCAGATTCATGCATGGAAAGGTACTGATGATACATAATAGTGGGAACATTTTATAAGTATTCAATTACTTGGAAATCTACAAAAGGATAGTAAGCAGCTTCAGAAATCTAAAAGGTACATTAGCAAAACTAAAGGATATATATTCCATCTAATTCTTAATGTTTTCAGAGAATCTGTAGAATTGGATATACACTGGAGAAATTTGCTTTGAGGTAGCAATGAAAGTATCACAATAGAAATTCCTACTTCTCCTTAGGAGTAATGGTGGCAATATAAGGGAAAAAAACCTACCTGCCATTCAAACTCACTGTCCGACCAATCCCAGTATGTGCTAATAGAAGAAGAGACATCACTGCAGACACTCCCCTCAGGGAATAAATCAAAAGAAGTGAAGTCTTGATCATCTAACAGGGAATAGCAATCATCTTGATCTCCAACAGAAACTGATGAAAACAGCTCCTCACTGCATTCTGAGCTGGCAACACTTGTTCCACAAGAAGTTAAGTTCCACCTTTAAAAAAGAACACAAAAGAAATCACAACAGGAATTACAGAATCTACCCAATTTAAAGATATGAACAATACATTTATGACATTTATGAGGAACAGGGGTATATTTTAGGTATGATAATGATATTGTGATTATTTTTGAAAGAGCTCTTATCTTTTTTTTTTTTATCCTCACCCAAGGACATTTTTTTCTTCCATTTTTGTTCAGATAGCGGGAGGGAGAGAGAGGAAGAGAGAAACATCGACGTGAAAGGAACACATTGAGTGGCTGCCACCCACACGACCAACCAGGACAAACTGCAACCGAGGTACGCGCCCCTAGCGGGAACTGAACCCAGTCTCTCTGGACCGCAGGCCGACGCTCTAACCACTGAGCCAAATGGGCCAGGGCGAGCCCTTATCTTTTAAGGCTATATACTAAAATATTTATGAATGAAATATGTCTGGGATTTGTCTCAACATAATAAGAAAGGGGTTGATAAATGAGTAGGAGTATTGATAAAGCACATTGCTGTATGTGAATAACTGTTCCGCTGGGTAATGGGTATATTGCGTTCATTACACTAGTCTCTCTACTGTGTGTCTGAAAATTTTTATAATACAATATTTTAAAAGAAAAATTCATTTAAATTAGGGATAAAGTAGAACCCTCATCCATTAGCAAAACATATAGCATAATGGTTATGAGTAACCTCTGGAGTCAAACTGAGTTCAAATTCTTGCTATGTCACTTGCCTGCTGTTTGATCATTAGCAAAACACACCCTCTCCAAGCCTGTGTACTCCATTTTTAAAACAGTTATTGTGGAAATTATAGGAGAATGCATACAAAGTGCTTAGCAGACATAAAAAGTGCTCAATACATGGCAGCTATTATTATCATTAAAGGAAGAGGGTAGCCATTCCAGGGCAGAGAAAAGCACCAACAAAGTATACAGGTAGAAGCTCAAAAGTGTTTCTTATATTTAAAAATTTTCCATGTCAATGTTATACAGGATCACTGCAAAGATATTGGAATAAGGAGTAATTAAGAAGATTAAAATAACTAATAATACCCAACAATAACTAATCCATAATATTTTGGTACTTTATGTGCATGCATTTTTTTCACAGAATCAGCATTCAGCATATATTTTAATATCCAGCTTTCTTTCATTTAACATTATATACTGAACATTTCCCCAAGTGTATTACTTGAAAACATTTTTAAGGCCTATATAATATTCCATTGATTAAATATACCATAATTTACTTACTCTTATTCCTTCAATAATATATACTTAAGCTGTTTCCTATTTTTTGGCATTACAAATACTGAGATAAAACATTTTGTTTATAATTATTTATCTAAATATATAATCTCTCAGGACAGATAACTTTATTTTTTTTATCCTCACCCGAGGACATTTTTTTTTCCCATTTTTTGTTCAGGTAGAGTGGGAGGGAGAGAGAGGAACAGAGAGAGAGAGAGAGAAACATCGACGTGAAAGGGACCCATCGAGTGGCTGCCACCTGCGCAACCCACCAGGGCTGGGGACAAACTGCAACCGAGGTACGTGCCCTTAGTGGGAACCGAACCCGGATCTCTCTGGACCACAGGCCCACGCTCTAACCACTGAGCCAAACCGGCCAGGGCAGGACAGATTACTTGAAAGGAAAGTACTGAGTCACAGAATATAGATACTTTTAAATACCATAATATATACTTAGTCAAATACCTTTCTGAAAGGCTGCACCAATTTACAGTCCCCAAAGCAGTACATAAAAGTGCTCATTTCATAACAACCTTAACAGCACTGCAATTTTCATTTCTAAAATTTTTACCTGATGGGAGAAAAACATTGTTACATCAATTTTTAGTTCTTTGATTACTGACAAGATCAAAATATTTATTAGCTATTTTGCTACAGCATTTTTCCATTTGTTAATGTTCTCCTTATTGATTTTGTAAAGTGTTCTTTATGCATTAAGGATGTTAACATTTCATCTGTAGTATTTGTTGCAGGGGTATAATTTTTTTCTTGGTCTTGAAACCTACAAATCTGTTTTCTTTTATAAAGTTCCAGTAGCTTTATGCTAGTAATGAGATCATCTTCATTGCTTTGGCAGTATCTTAGGAAATTAATCCTTAAGATAATGGCTTAGTATATCTGATACTAATAAGGTACTGACATGACTTCCTGAAGAAAAGCCTGTTATCTACCTATAATTAGGTTGTTTCTCTTTCATTAAATCCAGTTTTTTCTTGAATTGTATATTTCATTTTTTAACTCCCCCTCTTATTTTGTATGACTAACCTTAATTCCAAAGTTCTTAATTTACAAAATTCAGGCATAGCACCTTTTCCAGTGAGCTAAAGGTAAAGTATTTTAAATCACTGACACACACAAAGACACATACACTCTAAACTATTATGCCATAATACAAAAGTAGTTCAGTAAATACAAAAATAGACATCAACAAAATTTTATAAATAGGCAAATTATAAACTTCATCGAAGAATCCAAAGATATACCTTGTAATATTGCCTAGTTTCATAACATGCTTGCTAGGTAGGCAGTATCCTCATTTTTAAAAAATCAACAAACCCAGTAGAATTCACCAAATTGCCCAGATCATGCAATAAGGCAATATAAAAGCTATGAATAGCAATTGTAAGTTCTGTCCTGAACACAGATAAACTATATTTACATTATGTCCTGGGCAAACCATTTTTTCTCTTGCATCCTGAAATCGCATATGGCTTGTTTTGAACCTTTATTCACTCACAACTCAACAAACATTTAGTCAGTATCTTCTTTGTGCCAAGTACTGTGTTGGATACTAGGAAAAACTATTAGATAATTGTTTTTAATGAGAATTCCTGCCCTGCCCGATTTGGCTCAGCAGCTAGAATGTCAGCCCGAGGACCAGAGAGTCTGGGTTTGGTTCCTGCTAAGGGCACGTCCCTGGGTTGCAGTTTGTTCCTGCCCTGGTTGGGGTCATGTGGGTGGCAACCACTCAATGTGTCTCTCTCACATTGATGTTTCTCTCTCTCTCTTCCCCCCTCTCTCCCTCCCGCTCTATTTGAAGATAAATGCAAAAATATCCTCAGGTGAGGATAAAAAAAATTTAAAAAAAGAGAATTCCTTTTCAGCTTGAAAAACTTAGGTAGAAGCATGTATTTCCCTCATGAGTAATAATGGCTTTTATAAAAACTAATAACCTTATGGTTAGATCACTGACAAGAGAGTCAGGAATTTTGCAGACTTTGTTTATTATTGGTTTTGCATTCTTACCTTAGGGAAAAATCAGTATGTTCCTCAGTTTTCCAGATCCATCACTTTATAACAAATATAAAAGGGTTCTGGGTATTCTTTTTTTTTAAATCCTCACCAGAGGACATTTTTGCATTTATCTTCAGATAGAGAAGGAGGGAGAGAGGGAAGGAGAGAGAGAGAGAGAAACATTGACATGAGAGAGACACATCTTCTGGTTGCCACCCACATGACCCCAACTGGGGCCAAACTGCAACCGAGGTACGAGGTACGTGCCCTTAGTGGAAACCAAACCTGGGACTCTCTGGTCCTCGGGCCGACGCTCTAACCACTGAGCAACTAGGCAGGGCGGTTCTGGGTATTCTTAGAAGCCTTTTCTTTTTTGTTTTTTAAAAAGAAAAAACATTAACACTGTTTCATTAACAGTGGCATGAAACCTGGCTCATACTTGAAATAAATCATTAACAAAACAGAAAAATAAATAGTATGCTTTACTATTAAAGATATTTTTAATTCTATTATCTCCTACTTTGAAAGTACTATTTTATTATTAAAGGCAATGTGGATAAAAACAAAGTAGGTAGTACTTTTATCCACTACTTGTGGTAGTGTTAAACAGGCATAATTTTTCTGAAAAGCATTTGGTAGTATATATATATATCAAGATCTTTCAAAATGTTCATTCCTTTCGACTCAATAATCTAGGAATCTATCCTCTTCCCCAAAGAGAAATTTGGAAAACAAGATATATGTACAAACACATCTAAACTATATTATAATAGCCGAAAGGGGGAAAATAAATGACTCCAAGCATGGGAAATAAAATTAAAAGTCTTATTTTCAGACAATTTATTGAAAAGGAAAACACTCACAATATAAGTGTAAATAACTTGATGACAAATTATATATATGGCCTGATCCTGATCTTTAAAAATTATGTGTGCATAAAAAGAACATCAAAAGTAACAACAACAAAATGTTTATAGTTATCTTTAGTGAAAGGGATCATGAGTGGTCTTTACAGTTTTATATTTTCTATCATGAGCTTTCATAATAAAAATGTGTGTGATTCTGCCCTGGCTGGTTTGGCTCAACAGTTAGAGTGTTGTCCCATGGACCAATAAGTCACGGGTTCAATTTCAGTCAAGGTCATGTACCTTGGTTGCAGTTCCTCCTGGCCCTGGTGACCGCAGGCCAGGACCTTCAGCCAGTAGATGTGTCTCTTTCATATCAATGTTTCTCTGTTTCTGTTTCTCTGTTTCTTTCTTTCTCTCTCTCCCCCCCCCCTTCTTCCCTCCCACTCTATCTGAAGATAAATGGAAAAATATCCTCAGGTGAGGATTAAAAAAAAATTGTGATTCTTTTAAACTGTTCTGTCAGTTTCAAATGTGTAACAAATGATCACTGTGTGCACGTGCTCAGCACTGAACTATTTAGATTTACAAAGCTTTTACATCTTATTCCACTAAGAGAAAGCTACCTAAACCTGAAATCCTAGCTATAACCATAAAATTATTCACAAAGGAGACTTTCTCCACACCATAAAAGAAAAGTGTTGAAAAGAATCCCAAATGAAATGGAGTTTAACTCAGTAACTAGGCTTGCTGCCCAAATTTTAATTTTAAAAAAGGTAAAACCAAGATTTATCTGCAAGGCTTCTTCACTAAGAATACACAGACAAAGGACTTTCAATGGTATTTTGGTAAAATTAAAAAGAGCATGCTAACCACATACACATTCTCCTCCAGCCCTTTCTCTTTCAGGTAGACCTAACCATTACCCCTCAGGATGAGAATCCAGCCACTGAGTATTGTGGAATTAAGTCCTACTGTCAGGCTGATGAAAGTCATTCAAAATTTATGCTTCATTCTCAGGATATCCTCTTATATCATGAGTACTCATCACTGACTCCCTGCCAGAATCCACATACAGCAACCCTGACCTCGGCTACACCTCTGGAGCCCCAAGGTCCTACGTTAGAGGAGATAATATGACCCCCCTAACTCCCCTCCCAGTGACCTCAATTGTCTTGGGATCATTACACATCCCTCTTGCCCCCTCTATAGTCTTGAAAATAAAAACATTCCAGGTCATTTTTAAGGCTATTTCTTCTATTTGGGCTTCTGAGTTTAGCCCATCCATCTCCTGCCATACCACCCTCTCTTTTCCTGTGGGCTGCTTCTAAGGAGCTAAAATCACTATTCCTGGAAAAGAAAAACTAAATAAGAAAAAAAAATCTTCACTTTATGTTTTCAAATATTACCACATCTCCTCTCCTTCCTTCCCCTGCTAAATTTATTGTAGTTTCATCTACTGTTTCATCTACTTTGTAAACCACAGTTCCACTTGTGTCATGCTACTGGAATTTCTGTTCTGATTACTTCCAAATCTGCATTTCTAGCCTGCATAGTTCTCCAAAGCCTGATCTCCATTCTTAACTTGTCTCAACAAGTCCCCAAACCAAATTCCTACTGCCTCTGTAACTTATCTCACTTCATGAAACATGGTTCTCCCTCCTGTAACTCACAGCTCTATTTCTATATTAAGGTAGGAAAACTGTGGGTGGTTCAAAAAGCACACAGTAGTCTTGGGGTTTTTCTGGTTACTAGTGATTGAAAACAGGGCTCTAAAATCACCTAACTGAGTAACTGCTTTATACAATAGGTCATTTCGTATCCTGCCAATAGGGTGTACAAAAGTGAGGCACTATCCTCCCACACACTTTTTACAATTTTTCAATGTCAAAGTGCTGATATACTGCTGAAAGATGAAGAAAATAACACATCGAGTAGTTCATATTAACCACCTTCATCTCACAATTTATTTATAGAACCTACCAATAACATTATCATTTCTTCAATTTGCTAAATGACATCCTTTTTTTAAATTTATCTTTATTGTTGAAAGTATTACAGATGTCCCTTTTTTCCCCACTGACACCCTCCTCCCCACTCCTGCCCCCCACCTTCCCCACACTGTTGTCTGTGTCCACTGGTTATGCATATATGCATATAAGTTATTTGGTTTATCTTTTCCTGCCCTGCCACCCCCCTCCCTCTGGGTTTGTCAGTCTGTTCCCTATTCCATGTCTCTGGATCTATTCTGTTCATAAATGACATCCCTTTTTACGATGATGGAGGTTGCTGTGGACAACTGCTAAGAAAAAACCCACAACTACATAGGAAAAATCCTATCCCCAAAACCAAAAAAACTGTCTTTAACACTATATATATATATATATATATATATATATATATATATATATTCCACACTGACATTTCAATTTTAAAATATTTTAATTTTTTGCCCAGCTGGTGTGGCTCAGTGGTTGAGCACTGACCCATGCACTAAGAGGTCGCTGGTTTGATTCCCAATCAGGGCACATGCCCAGGTTGTGGGCCCAATCCCCACTGCGGGGAATGCAGGAGGCGGCCAATCAATGTTCTCTCTCATCAATGTTTCTCTCTCTCTCCCTATCCCTTCTTTTCACTCTAAAATCAATAAAGAAACAAATAAAAATATTTAATTTTTTTGCTTATTGAAATTTATTTTGTTCTCCTAAAATTCCAGACAAACCCTACTTGGTCATAAAATCCTAAAATATACTACTAGGAAAGTGTGAATTCTTAGGAAACTGGCTGTGTTCGTGTAATTTACTTTTTACTAAAACTAGACCAGTGACGTACCAACCTAAGTAACAGGTGCTGAACACTACAAACATTCAACCTTAGGGATCATAAGTAATAGTGCCTGACTCTCCTGGTTAATGAAGGTTGCAAATGTAACCCAGAGTCCAATAAATGAACAGGCGCAGAACTGTCATCATCCTAAGGCCCTTATCAACAGCATTATTTAAATGATCTCCACAATTTTCATTGGGCAACAAGAAGCAAAATAAAGGTAAATCAAGTGTCTACACACTGACATGCTTTTTACTTTAAATTAAACATTTTTATAATGACTAAACCCAAAGCAGAATATCTGTATTCAACTATACAGATAGGATTTTTGGATTGTTGCTTGAATTGACGAATGATGTGGTGTGGTGAATTTAAGTGACACATGAAACTCCAAAACGAAAGAACTCCCTAAACATTACCCACATACATGATTTAGGTGTTTGCTTCTCTCTACAAAGAAATGACTGGAGGCAAACGGTCCTCTCAAACACCATCATGAGGAGGGGTAAGGAAAAAATGGGGAGGAGCCCCACAGGTGTGGCTCAGTGTTTGACCCATGCACCAAGAGGTCGCCAGTTCAATTCCCGGTCGGGCCAAATGCCCAGGTTGTGGGCCAAATCTCCAGTGGGACGCAAGCAGGAGGCAGCCAATCAGTGTTATCTCTCATCAATGTTTCTCTCTGTCTCTCTCTTTCTCTCCCTAAAATCAAAAAAGATAAAAAATGGGGAGGAGAAAACTGTAGGGAATGTGATATTCTCCTTGCTTCACTCCCCATCACCCCAGCCCATTTTGGCAGTGTTACCCTCAGCCTTTGTCCCTACACTCCCTTGCCCTCATTATCAGAGCAAGCTAATTCTGAAATCATCTCACATTTCAAGTGTATTTAACTCAATCCAATGCTTCAAAATGTGACTATCAAATATGTGCAAAAGTATTATTTTATGCTATTTTCCAATAGCACACTAGCTATCCTATGCATATGTGCCATTCATGTTATAGTTACTGCATGACTTAAATAGGTTTCTGTGAGTTAGTCTAAGAAACTATAACAACCATTTACTCTGTTAGCTCTGTTCCAAGTTTCAGCACCAGCTCCAAAGGAGTGATCCTGATTTTGCCTAACTCAGTTTTATGACCTTTCTCTCTGGGGCTCAGTTTACTATCACTTCCTTTTAAAATGCGTTGTATTGATCTTCTGGATGATTGCTCAACTATAGCACCTTCTTTCTGGACGATATAACTTTCTTTTAGTTAAGAATAATGTTTTATAGATCCTTTGTATCTGGTAGAAGCTCAATAAATCTGTAGACTGATTTAAGAGATGGCCAGGAACATACAAAAGACATTAAAATGTGAAAGAATTTGTTCATGCTCATTTTATGAAATGAATCAGAAATCAGAACTAGACTCCTTAATTCAACTCCAGCATTTTCTATAGCTGAACCCCTCTCCTCCTCTCTTTTTTCCAGTCTCCCTCCCAAGGCCTGAGTATGTTTCTCAAATATCCACCTATATTAAAGGTTAGGGCTAAGTGTAAAACATCTTCAAATCCCCCACATTCAGTATGACTTAAATACGTGCTTGAGAGAATTCTCCAGGATACTCACTTCTAATAAAACCAGTTAGGGGATGCACCCCCTGAATAAATTTGTATTAAGCAAGATTATCCTAAGCCTCCCTCCATCATTCCACCGGGGGAGCAAATCAAGGCATGTGCTACATGAAGGAATCTTCCAGATTTAAGCTTATACATTTTGGAAGGGCCCAAAGTGTGAAGGCAAAGAGTTCATAAAGGAGAGACAGAAAAGAACTCTGGTTTCCTAGAGCTTCGCTAGAAAATGGGGACGAGGGTAGAATTGAGAGACAGGTTAAAAATCGGTAAAAAGAAGGTAGCTTTAAAAGTGCCACCTTTCAAAAGATCCACGGATTAATTTCGAGCCATAAGAAATCCACTTATCGGAAATGGAAGGGGTTAAACTTTTGTGGGTGAAAGGAAACAGGGAAGCAGCTAAAAATCAAAGGTGGGGTTTTGGGGTTCATACGGGCAGATGGTGGTAGGGAGGTTGAAGAAGTCGCCGAAATGGTCAGGAGATGAATGGGGTAAGAGTGTAAAATGCCGGCCAGCCGAAAGGAAAATCGGGAGGGCAGGGGTGAAAAGAGGGAGGGGGAGCGGGAAGGAGCCCGGGAATGCACGCTAGTGGAAGAGAAAGATGGGGGAGGGGGCGAATGGAAGCACAGACCCTGGGTGGAGTGCCAGGCTCAGGGACGACCCAGCGGTCCTGGACTTGAGGCAGGGGTGTGGGCAATCGGTCCCTGCCCCCAATCGCGGTACATACCTGTTGGTGTGAAAGCGGTGGAGCGGGTCGGTGCGATGGCAAGACGACAGCTGGCAGCCGAAGTCGCTGATGTCCAGACAGCCCGGCTCCTCGCTCGGGCAGGTGCCCACACCTCGAGGGGGTCCCAGAAGCGGGAAGGGCTCCTCGGGCGTCAGAAACTTCTCATACGAAGTGGTGGCCGACGCTTCGTCAGACATGGCTGGAGATGGCCGGGCTCAAGCTACCTCTCTGGTCCCCGGCTGCTCCCACGTCCGCCCCTGCCCCCACTCTAACCTGTATACAGTCACCGCTGCGCCTGGGTGTGCCCGCCGCAGTTCGCCGGCAAGCAGAGCGTCGGCCCGCCGCTGCCCAGGGGGTGCTGCGCTGCGCAAAGAGGCTGCTCCACGCCACCGCAACCCGTCGGCCCTCAAGTCAGTTCCCGAGTGGCCTCCACAGCCGCCCCAATCGCCGCTGCTACTGCTAACCAGCCCAGCCTCCTCTGTGCAGTGCTGTGGCCGCCGCCAGGCCCGCCCACTGCGCCGGCCGCCCTCGACTGCTGCAGTCCGCCCGGCGCCCGCCGGGACCGAAGGGCGGCGGAAACCCCTCCCTGTGCCCCCTGCTGGAGCGGAGGAGGAACTGAACCTCCGCAGGCCTCCGCAGCACCGCCCACCCCGCCCTCTACGCGGCCAATCAGGGATTCCAAGCGCTGAAAGGCAGGGGACTTCACACCAACCCCCTCCTCCGCCTTCGCTCCCGCGGCTGATTACTAAGCCTTAAGCCGCAGGCCTTAGCAAAGGGACTTGGCCAAGGTAACACTGTGGTTGCCTGAGAAAAGATCCAGATGGCCTGGTTCCTGGCACACTCGATCACCCAGTCCCAATTCAACAAGTGTTTATTGAGCTCCTGTAGATGTGTGCCCAGAATTGTGCAATGAGCTTTAAGGAAAATGAACCAAGCAGAGAAAAATAGTCCCTGCCTATAAATCTCACCAAATCTTGAGAATTATAGGCAAGGGCTACCAGGGTACTCAAAGCTGCTGAACACGTAGAGCTGTTTTGTACTCTGGGCTGTGCCTAGCATTATGCATTCTGCCTGGAATGCCCTGCCTTTTCTCCCTTGCTAATTTTTAAAGCCCCAGCTAAAACGTTACCTCGTCTGTGAAGCCTTCCCTGACTCTCAGAGGAGACTTAGGTATCCCTGCTAATACTCGGTGGAAAGGGCACTTAACTTGCTCAATTTAAATCAGCTTACTAGGTGTCACATACTGTTCTTTCTTCCTCTCTATCTGTAGTCTAGACAAGTGGTTCCAGCTCTTAGGTGCATACTTTTTAAAAAAATATTCAGAGGAAAACACAAGATTGCCAATTTTAAATTTTGCCAACTGAACGCAATTTTTAGATCTACTATTATTTTGTAAAAAGAAGCACATTTCCATATAAAATTATGTAAAACTTGAAATCTAAGAATGGTTCCGCTTGGCTAAATGGGTTAAGAGTTTTATTTTTTTAGGATGAAGCACAGCTTCGCCGCCTTTTCAGCACAGGGACCTCTAACACAAGTTGCCTCTATGCTCTAATACCTGGCTCTACATCTATAAACTGCCTGCCTGCACTTCTGTTTCTGCCATCTAAACCAGCCTTTATAAAGGAATTCCTGGAGTTCTAGTTCAACCAATAGAACTAAAGCTTTCCCCATCCTGTCGAAACTGTGCAGCTCTGACCAATCAGAGAGGCTCTATTATGAGCAATCAGAGACAAGGGGCAGGACTTCTGTCTATATAAGCCAGCTCCTCTCAAGCTCCTGCTTTAAGCACTGTAGACTTCTCTCTGGAGTAAGACAACGTAGACCAGCTGTAGTCGAAGCACTGAAGGATGGCGCAGACCATCGTGGAGCAGACCTGTCCAGCTGAAGAGCGTCCTGGTCCCCAGCACCGCCTGGCCCCTAGGCAGACTGTTTTAACAGTAGCTACTCTGTACCACTATTGAGCAGTTCGATAGCAGTGCTGTCTCACAGCCATGCTGTATTACTTTCAAGCTGTTTGCACTAAATAAAGTTTCCTTCTCCACCATACCCCAAATTGGGAGTTCTTGTTGACGTTTGAATTGGTGCCAGAGATGATGAGTTGAAAATAAGGGCGTTAGTAATCTCTCAATAAGTAATTAAATATACTTAATCTTGGGAAGGCCGAGCATTTCTTCTGGTTGAACAGCTTTTTCCCATGCAACTAATCAATAATAACAGAATAAACACAATAGTCACTGGTATTTTTTTTATACGTGAAAGAAAAAATTTCTCCAGGGGCCGCTGGAAAACTCGTAAAAATAGCTTTAGGTACAAAAGATACCCTGATAATTATTTAATTTTACATTTAAGGTTCAATCTTAGAAAAGACAAATAAAAGTTGTCAAGATATCTGAACACTTAAAACAGGACAATTGGGATGAGAAACAGTATTTGGGTATTAATAGAAAGTAACAAAACATTTAAAAATAAAAATACTGATTCCAAAATGGCGGTGGAGTGAACAGAACCTACACAGACCATCTCCCTCAACCAAACTGGAATTACAACTATAACACAAACAAATCAATGGGGAAAAGCAGCTTGCAAGGACCATATAACCAGGGACACTGACTCGATCCTGGTAGGATTGTGAAGGCGCGAGACGGGGGTTGGGACCCACTTACAGCAGCGGCCTTAGCCGGGAGCTGCACCCTCGGGTTAACTCCCAAGCGGCTCCACAGAGCAGAGCCGGGACAGAGGCTAAAAAAACCACAGCCACTCACCTTGGACTCTGGCAGAGGGAGGGCAGAATGGACTGGAACTGTGAGGGGACACTCGGGATTTGGAGGGCGCTCAGAACATTTGCTGAGTTGCTGCCACGCAAGACAGTGGCCATCTTGCTCCTTCCCAGCTCTCTGGAGAGAGGCACCAGCCCCTCCCTCAGAGATACAACCCCACCCTGTGGGCCATTAAAATGCTAATTGAGGCTCATTAACACCCAGCATCTGCCCCACCCTTGGGAAATCCCCTTATGCTGAGCACCTGAGGGAGTTTTTCAATCAACTGACAACCCAAAACTCTTCAAGTAACCTCCACTGCTACCTCCAGGCAAAAAGCTAGAGAATAACAGCACCTTTCCTGGGCTAGCAACTTTAACCAGGAAAGTAAGACTTGACAGTGGTGTTTAACGTGGGTCCTCCATCACTCATCTAAACCCAGGAGAGAGAGCCACAAACAGCAGAACACCAAGACCCAAAGGGAAAACTTGACAGGCTCCAAAGCCCACTGTGATAGCCAAAATGGAGAAACACAGAAACAGAAGCCAAATGAAAGAACAAGAGACTTCCACTGAAGATGAGACCAATGTGGAGCAGTTATGCAAGTTAACAGAGCTGGAATTCAGAGGCATGATCTTGAGGAAGCTCAACAGGATGAGTAAGGACATAGAGATGCTGAAAATAAACCAACTGGAAATTAAAAACCACCAAGAAGAGATAAAAAATGACATATCAGAAACAAAACACACATTGGAAGGTCTAAAAAGCAGATTAGAGGAAACTGAGGACCGGATCAGTGAATTAGAATACAGGGTAGAAAAAATCAACGAATCAGAAAACCAAAAGGAAAAAAATGATTTAAAAACAGAAAGACAGCTTAAGAGAACTGCGGGACAACTGGAAACGTAATAATATTCACATCATAGGAGTCCCCGAACAAAAAGAAAATGAGGAAGAGTTAGAGAATATATTCAAAGATATAGTGACAGAAAACTTCCCTAATTTGGTGAAGGAAGAAGGCATTCAAGTTCAAGAAGCACAGAGAGCCCCAAGTAAGAAGAACCCAAACAGGCCCACACCAAGACACATAGTAATTAAAATGGCAAACATTAAAGACAAAGAGAGAATCCTAAAAGCAGCAAGAAATAAGCAACAGGTTACCTACAAAGGTAACCCCATAAGGCTTTCAGCTGACTTCTCACAAGAGATACTACAGGCCAGAAGGGAATGGCATAAAGGAATCAAAGTCATGAAAAACAAGGATCTGAATCCAAGACTACTCTACCCAGCAAGGCTATCATTCAAAATGGAAGGTCAAATAAAGAGCTTCCCAGACAAAAAAAAAAAAAAAAAAAGCTAAGGGAATACATTAGCACCAAACCAGCACTGCAAGAAATGTTAAAAGGACTACTGTAATTAGTAGAAGAAATAGGAAGAAAAATATAACCAAACTAAACAAAAATGGCAATAAGCAAGTACATATCAAAAATCACCTTAAATGTAAATGGACTGAATGCTCCGATAAAAAGACACAGAGTAGCTAATTGGATAAGAAAGCATGACTCATCTACATGTTGTTTACAAGAGACCCACCTCACAACAAAGGACTCGAATAGGATGAAATTGAAGGGATGGAAAAATATTTTCCAAGCAAATGAAAACCAAAAAAAAGCTGGGGTAGCAATACTCATGTCTGATAAAATAGATTTCAAAATGAAGGCCATAACTAGAGACAAAGAAGGCCACTACATAATATTGAAAGGATCTATCCAATAGGAAGATATAACCTTGATAAACATATAGGCACCCAATATAGAAGCACCAAAATATATTAAAAATCTTCTGGAGGACTTCCAAGGACAAATCGACAGCAATACAATCATAGCAGGGGACTTCAACACCCCGTTGACAGCACTGGATAGAACCTCTAGACAAAAAATTACCAAAGAAACAGAGACTCTAAATGAACCACTAGATCAAATGGATTTAATAGATACCTACAGAGAATTACACCCCAAAACAGAAGAATTCACATTCTTCTCAGGTGCACATGGGCCATTCTCTAACATTGACCACATGTTAGGACACAAAGCAAGTCTCTACAACTTCAAAAAGATTGAAATCATATAAAGCATTGTCTCAGATCACAATGGCATGAAACTAGAAATCAATTGCAACAAGAACATGCAAAGGCATCGGAACACATGGAGGCCAAGTAGCATGTTATTGAACAATAAATGGGTTACTATGGAGATCAAAGAAGAAATTAAAAACTTCCTGGAAACCAATGAAAATGAACACACAACAACACAAAGTCTATGGGATGCAGCAAAAGCAGTTCTGAGAGGGAAGTTCATAGCACTACAGGACTACTTCAAGAAACAAGAAAAATTTATAATTGACTGTCTAACCTCACAACTTAAAGAACTAGAGAGCAAACAAAAAGAAAACCCCAGAGCAAGTAGAAGGAAGGAAATAGTAAAGATCAGAGCAGAAATAAAGGACATAGAGACCAAAAAAACAATTCAAAGGATCAATGAAACAAAGAGCTGGTTTATTGAAAAGATAAACAAGATTGATGGACCCTTAGCTAGACTCACCAAGAAACAAAGAGAGAGAACCAAAATACACAAAATCAGAAATGAAAGAGGAGAAGTAACAACTGACACCACAGAAATACAAAAGATCGTTAACAGCTACTATGAACAACTAAATGGCAACAAATTTGACAATCTAAGCGAAATGGACAAATTTCTAGAAACACA